ACTACATCGCAATTTACCTCATCCTTGTAACCTTGTAGCTCAATTCCCGCCAACACTTGTTTGATGACATTGATTTCCCCACAATTATTGAGCCACTGTAGTTTGTAACGCCTCAAGTGCAAATTCATCCTCAAATTAAGTCTTTTCACTGCGAGGTCACTAATGACATTAGTATAACTACCACCGTCAATCATAAGACTACATAGGACTGGCTAGCCAGAGCTAGTTCCATGGGCTACTCAACGAAAGCCCCTATGAGCATTTACAGAACTTCAATAGGATCGCTGTCACCTCTAAATCACACATAATCACAGAGGACACTGCGAAGTTATTTTTTTTTTCTTACCTTTTCTTTATCAGAAGAAGCGAGGAAGTTGTTTGACAACATCTACCCCATTCTTGTCACTTTCAAGGAAGCACCGCAGACCTTCGTGAGCAAGTACATAAGACTACATAGGTCTGGCTAGCCAGAGCCAATTCCATGGGCTACTCAACGAAAGCCCCTATGAGCATTTACAGAACTTCAATAGGATCGTTGCCACCTCTAAATCACACAAACCACAGAGGACACTGCGAAGTTAATTTTTTTACCTTTTCTTTATCAGAAGAATCGAGGAAGTTGTTTGACAACCTCTACCCCATTCCTGTCACTTTCAAGGAAGCACCGCAGGCCTTCGTGAGCAAGTACCAGCATGTATCGAAGACCATCAGCCAGATGAATGAAATATTAAGTTTCAAGATGGCTGGTGATGAGCCCCTACCCTAAGCCTGGAGTTGCTACAAGCAGCTGCTCCGCAACTGCCCTCACCATGAGATTCTTGACTTTATGGAGCTCAAGATCTTCTATTCAGGGATCACTCCAGAGTTGAGGATTTCTTTAGACGTAGCAGCGGGTAGCTCGCTCATGGGACAGTGCGCTTCATAAGCGAGGGCACTAATAGAAAAGATGGCAGCCAATCAGACTAGCAGGCCAGAGACCAGCAGACCAGAGCCATCTAGGGGTCTTTACCGGGTTCCTACTACGGTTTCACAGGATACACGGATCGACAATCTGTCTGTCCAGATCAAAGAGCTAGCCAAGCTCGTGAAACAAGATTTATCTGGTAATAAAGGTAAACAGATAGTGAGCGAGACCGTGGCAACGGAGGAGTGTGCTTATATAGACCAGTCTAGCCCACAGGTTGCTAAGATCTCTGCTGAGCAGACTCAGAACCCAGCGGAGGTCTTTTACATGGCGAATAGAAATGCTCCTTAGTTCCAGAAAGGGCAACCCCAAAGGCTTGCTGGACCACACCATCAACAACAATATCAACAGCCACAACAGTTCGCTGCGCAACAATATTATTAAGGGAGATACTATATGCAATAGCAATACTTTCAGACCCCCCACTTTCCGCAGCAGGCACCTGTTTTCGCTCAGCCTCCCATAGCGGCACAACAACCGCTGAGTCTGGAGGAGCTATGGAGGAACACTGAGTAGGCGAATCAAGAGTTCCAGCGCAACACATCTATCTCGAACAAAATGTTAGAAATACAAGTCGGATAGATAGCTGAAGCGATGAAGTTGAAGCAAAAGGGAACATTTCCTGGGACAGTTGAGACTGTCCCGAACCAAGCGAAGACAGTTGAGACAAGGGGTGGGAAACGGACACAACCGTCACCACTGCCAGTCAGAGGTACTATTGTCTCTTATATCCCTATTGTTGTTAATTTACTTATGCATGAGAGAAATCAAACGAAAAATGAGGAAGTAAGTCCATCCGAGCCACGAGCGACACCAGCCACTTGGGGACCTAAACAGATGGGGGAAATGCCAACTCAAGCAATACCTAGGGCTCCTTTCCCAACCAAAAATCTGAAGAAGGATAATTCGAAGGAATTTAACGAGGAATCTTAAATGCTTTGTTGCAGTTGCCACATTACGCTAAGTTCATTAAAGATATAATCAATAGAAAGCAGGCATTCCTAGAAGAGGAAGCAGCGGTGCAATTGGAAATGGTGTGCAGCGCCATATTTATGAGGACCTCCCGAAGAAACTCAACAATCCTGGGATTTTTATCATTATTTGTACTATTAGAAATTTAAAACCAATTAGGGAACTATGCGACTTAGGAGCTAGTATCAATCTTATGTCTTTTTCCCTTTTTAGTAAATTAGGGTTTTATGAGCTTGAACCATGTAGAACTGTAATCCAACTGGCAGATAAATCAATAAGACTCTCGAAATGGATTATTCATGACGTGCTAGTGCAAGTAAACAAATTTATCTTCTCTGCAGATTTCATAATTATGGAAATGAGTGAAGACCGCGAAATTCCTATAATTTTGGGGAGACCTTTTCTTGCCACCGCTCAAGCTAATATCAACATCGCTCAAGGCGAAATTACATTGAGTATAGGTGGAGATAAAGTCACATTTTCTATGAACAATGTGTTGCGCCAACCTCAAGAAAAAAATTGTGATTTTATCAATGAATTAAATGAATTAACTTCTCTTGAGAACTGTTTAACAATTGAAATTCATGAAGAAATTTCAGAGAAGGATTCGCTTGAGCTGGAGCATTTCGTGGACTCTGGTGACCGAAGCGACAACTTACCAAATCCTACCAAGTCCATAGAACAAATGAAGCGAGAACTAGAGAGAAAATCCGAGACTAAGGACGAGTTAAAGAATTACCTGAACACCTCAAATACATATTCCTTGGCCCGGAGGAGACTTACCCGCTGATAATCTCTGCGTCACTGTTGTCGGACAAAGAAGCTCAACTTGTCTTCCTTCTCAAGAGAAAAAAGATGGCTTTCGCATGGAAAATTTTAGACATCAAAGAAATCAGCCCAGTGGTGTGTATGCACCATATAAGGCTGGATGCTAAAGTGAAACCATGCAGATAGCCTCAGCGACGCCTTATGATAATATACAAGAGGTAGTAAAGAAAGAGGCGATTAAGCTTTTTGATGCATGTATCATCTATCCAATCAGCGATAACCAGTGGGTCAGCCCAACCCAAGTGGTCCCGAAGAAATGAGGCTTTGTCGAACAGACAAGCGACAAGTGGGAGGTCTTCATGACAAGACCTGTCACTGGATTGAGAGTTTGTATCGACTATAAGAGATTAAACGCAGCGTAAGAAAGACCATTTCCTTGATCAATGCCTTGAAAAGCTTGCAGGACATGAATACTACTGTTTCCTCGATGGCTACTCAGGCTACCATCAGATTCCCATCAAGCTGGAGGATTATGAGAAAACAACTTTTACTTGTCCATATAGTACATTCGCTTACAGGAGGATGCCTTTCGGGCTCTGCAATGCCCTAGTCACCTTCCAGCGGTGTATGTATCATATCTTCAGTGATCTCCTGGACTCCTGCATTGAAGTTTTTATGGATGATTTCTCGGTATATGTCAAAACATTTTCCTAATGCCTGCATAACTTGGAAAGGGTATTGCTCTGCTGCATAGCGACTGAACTCATGCTGAACTGGGAGAAGTGCCACTTGATGGTGAACGAAGGAATTGTTTTAGGCCATAAGATACCGCTCGTCGGAATTGAGGTGGACAGATCAAAAGTCAGTGTAATTGAAAACATGCCAGGCCCTCGAATGAGAAAGAAGTTAGAAGTTTCCTTGGACATGACGATTTCTACAGTCGCTTTATCAAGGACTTTAACAAGAATAATCAACCGCTCACCGCAATGTTGTGCAAAGATGCTCATTTTGAGTGCTCAAGTGAGTGTGAGGAGACTTTCCTGATTCTGAAGGAGAAACTCACAACCGCTCCCATCATTTCGGTACCAGTGTGGAGCGAACCATTCGAGCTGATGATGGACGCAAGCGATTATGCCGTCGGCGCTATATTAGGACAGAAAGTAGAGTCTAAGCTGAATGTCATATATTATGCCAATAAGACGTTGGACTCCGCTCAAAGGAATTACACTACTACCAAGAAAGAGTTGCTAGCTATTGTCTTCGCTTCCGAGAAGTTCAAACAATATCTGATCGGAGGCAAGACCATTGTTCATACAGATCATGCACCTATAAAAAATTTTATAGAGAAGAAAGAAATGAAGGCTTGCGTGATCAGATGGGTTCTTCTACTTCAAGAATTCCACATAGAAATCAAGGACTGCAAAGGGAAAAAGAATTACGTCGCTGATCATTTGAGCATATTAAGCCAACCGGAGGACACATCCCCAGGTATAAACGAATCTTTTCCTAACGAGAAGTTGTTTTTTGTACAGGGTAAAGAGCCATGGTTTGTAGACCTGGCTAACTTCTTGGCTAGAGGGCAATTTCCCGCTCACACTATTCAAAGGGAAAAGAAAAGACTGCTCAGTTTGACAAAGGACTACTTCTGGGATGAACCTTATTTGTTCAACATCGGCTCTGATAGAATTATCCGACGCTGTGTAGCGGAGTCAGAAGTCCTGCAGATCTTGGATGAATGTCACGGTTCCCATATAGGAGGGCTTTTCGCTGGCCAGCGCACAACGGCCAAAGTTTTGCAGTCAGGCTTCTTTCGGCCTACCCTACAGAAGTATGCAGATGCCTTTGTCAAGGCTTGCGACAAGTGCCAAAGACGAAGCTCTATCTCAAAGCGATAGGACCATTTCCAAATTCCAATGGAAAGCTATATATTCTGGTGGCAGTAGATTACATGAGCAAGGGGGTTGAAGCGCAGACGCTCCCTACGAATGATTCTCGCTCAGTGATCCGCTTCCTAAAATAAACTTTATTTCTAAGGTTCGGGGTTCCCAGAACTATCATAAGCGATGAAGGCACCCATTTTTTTAATAAGGCGCTGCAATATTGCGTTCAACAATATGGTGTTTGCCAACATCTAACTACGCCCTATTACTCGCAACCAAGCGGTCAGGTGGAGGTTTCTAACAGAGAGATCAAATACATCCACCAGACCACAATTAATAAGAGTCGCAAGAATTGTGCAGATAAATTGGATGATGCGCTGTGGGCATACAGAACAGCCTTCAAGACTCCAATTGAGATGTCCCCGTATAGGTTGGTCTATGGAAAAGCTTGTCATCTACCTCTGGAACTCGAGCATCGCGCATATTGGGCTATTAAGTATTTGAACTTTGATTTTCTCCCCACTCCGGAGAAGCGCGCCGAGCGACTGCTTGATCTTACCGAGTTCCTCTACCTGGCATATGAAAGTGCAAAATTATATAAGGAAAAAATGAAGTTCTATCACAACAGGAAGTTAAAAAAGAAAGACTTCTCTGAGGGATCCAATGTTTTATTATATGATACTAGGCTCCACTTATTCCCAAGAAAATTGAGATCACAATGGACTGGGTTGTACATAGTCGGACAAGTTCTGCCAAGTGGAGATATAAGAATCAGTAACGTGGATAACCCCAGGGAGAGCGACTTCTTCCTTGTCAGTGGAGCGAGGCTGAAACCATATATCGAAGGGCCTATATTGCAGCGGGTTGATGCGGAGATAAATCTGGTTGAGGTTCAGAAGCTCGCTCAGTGATTAGGACTCAGAATTTACATCCAAAGTTGCCTAATTTTATTTCCGTCAAAAGATTTACCGGTTTTTGTTTATTGCTTTCGTAGTTAGAATTTACCGCTTTCATCATTGTTTTCGTAGTTAGAGTTTACTACTTCTATTATCATTTTTATAGAATAGCTATTACTTTTTTCATAGTTAGTTTACTGCTTACAAGTAGAATAAACGTTATCGCTTTTCTAGTTAGGTTATTACTTTATTAGAATAGAGTTTAAATGCTTTGTTATTGCTTTCCTAGATTAGGTTACGTAGAATTTTAACTTCTAACCTAAGCCTGACCCAAGCCAACTGTCGCTTCGCTTGTTTCATTTTGATTTATGCTGGAGGAGCGTTATCACTCACACAATACCGCTTCCATCATTGTTTGTGTGTCATACTTAAGACAATTAGAAGTAGTGTTTTAATCGCTCACCCGCCCAATAACTCTCCATTTATGCATTTATAATAATATAATAATGGATTGTCTCTAGAATACCGCATTTTTGCTTGCATTCTTCTGAAAAGTGAGTGACCTCTCCTATAAATACCAGTCCTCGGTCATTTACACTTTTACCCTACAGTAACTTCCCTAGAAGCCAGAGAAAACCACCAGTTCTCCGTGTGTCAAAATACGAAAAATCTTAATCCTTCAACCAATTTTAGCTAAATCGGAGGTAAGATCTAGGTTCGCCCTTGGTCTATTTACTCAATTTCATGGGTTATTGTCTTTGATTTCACGCACATTAACACATAATCAAAATAATTTTTGCGAAAACTATCTGTTCTTCAAACCTTTGCGAAAATTTTTATAAATTAAATTTATGTTGTGATATATTATCTACTAGATTTAGAGATAACAACTGATTCTTGCTTTGTATGGATCGATTTTGCATATTTTTTATGCATTTTCTAGGTTTGTGATTTTTCTCCTTTTTTCACAACGAAACCCTCCTTGGAGTGTTCTGTTTCTTTGTGAGAAGAGGAAATAGGGTTCAAATCAGCGAGAATTAGGATATTTTTGCATGTTACTTGATTGTTGTTTTCATTTTGGAACTAATAATGCAGGTTTAAAGTTGTTCTGATTTAAACTCTATTCGCAAAGTACTAAAAAACCCTAGGTCATTCTCAACCATCACAATAGATCCCAGCGAGGAGAAAGCTGTGAGAAAGGAGTTTGTAAAGGTTGAAACAAGGATCTGGAAAAGGATTCAGCGAATCCAATGCACAGACAGAAGGAGGTGGTGACAACAAGCTCGGGGGCTGAATTTGTTGAGCCGACGCAGCCAGAAGCTTGCTATAAGAAAAGGAGCCTGTTGGAGTTTACCGAAGATTGGAGCAAGCTCAAGAAGTTAAAGTCCATCTCATTCAGAAAATTCATCCCAGAGTTTCCGGTAGATTACCTCAAATTCGAGTACACAAACGAAACTGACCAGAGGTATCCGGTGAGCGACTGGTAGTTGGACTACGAAGAACTAAAGGACTTTCACCAAACAAAGTTTGACAAGGAGTTCGCTCGCCAATCGACTAACAAGAAAATGAGGGCCTTCCGTGCTGAGAAAATAACAAAGAAGGTAACCGATGAGGAAGCGGTTTCGGACGGTTCAGATCGATAACTGACGATGAAGTAGTTTCGGACGGTTCAGATTGGTAACCGACGAGGAAGTAGTTTTTAATATAAACCTACAATATCTAATTATGTACTCCAAAGTTATCTTGATTTATTTCAGAGTAATGTGCTTAGAATATTTATTTATATATTGTGTTCAGTTACAGAAATATAAACCAAAAAAAACAACAAAATCTAGATAAAGCCCAGGATCCTACATTGTGAATATGTTAATTTCTTCTAAACACTTCTCTTTCCACTCAATCTGTCGTTGGCAAAGCACTCAGCAGAAATCATCGCCGTTGAACCTCTTCGCAAAAAAGCATTGCTGCTGCTGGAAGTATTACTCGTCGTGAAAATCTCAAATCCTACTCGAAATGTTAAAAAGGTCTCCCAAAAATAGAGTTCGAAGAAGTAAGTTAAAGTTTATATTTTAGAAGAATCAATTTACTTTTGTATTTATGAGTTCGTGTGTGATTTAATCTATTCTTTTTATGCCTCGGTTGGGTTTGAACAAGCTTTCTTGCTGGCCATTTTACTTGTTATTGTATTGTACCACTTGGTCCAATATAAATTATTTTGATATCTTTGAAATTATAAATGATCTTATTGAGAATAAAAGTACCTTCATTTGCATTTTTGTAGGTTTACATTTGTAGTAAAATGATCGTAGTGTGAGGTGTGCGGAGTTCCTTATTTTTTTCAAATACCATAGGCACAATTTTCTCTTGTGGAGTGACTTTTTAAGTACTGAAAGTATTTGACGATGTCTCTATCATAGTGTTGGTTGTATATGTATCTATTTTGTCGATTAGTGAAAACTTTGTTCATATTTTATATTGTTTGTGAATACCTTCAATTGCGTTTGGTGTGTCTTGAGTTTAAATTTATATGTCTCTTTAAGAATATTACTTACTTGCGCAGTTATGCTGTAAAATTGAATCAGTGTTGTGTATACTCATAAAAATATCTCTTTATTTTAAATGATGACAGGCCCGAGAAAAAATACAAAGGGCTTAGCTCCTTATTTGTTTTACATTTCTTCTATACAAAGATGGCTAAACTAGCAGTTAGGATTAACGACAAACAACTGAAAGTTGTATAACTCACCCGATTTGGGTGTTTCCTTTATTGTCCAAAAATAAAGCTACATTGGCATCGTATGTGGATGATTGTCAATATGTTTGACATTGAATCCCGATCATTTAGAATAGGAGAGGAAAGTGAATTAAGTTTTTCTCCAAAAGAATTTTCTATAGTACTTTTTGGTACAAAGAAATGGAGATAGAGAAATGGAAATGCATCCATTTCTTTTGTTTGGTTAAGACAATAATTCAGGATTCAGAAATAAACTATTTTCTATTCTCTAATTTTATTTCTCTCTTGTATGCAGAGAAGTAAAGAGATTAAGAGAGTGCACTGTGTTTATATATTTATTTATTTTATTTTTTTATATTTAACTTTTAATTTATGTTTATTTTTTTTCTTACTATTATTTAATTTTTATATTGTTCAAATCTCATAAAATATCATTTCTAAATTATTATTAAAATAAATTATCAAACTAAAAATATAACTAAAAATACAATAATATTTTCTCATCTAATTTATCATTTTTAATGATTGATGTATTTTTTTCAACTAGCAATATAGCGTAATCTATTTATGCGTTGTATTTTTTTTATACTTCTCAACTGAATTCTCTGTTTTATGAAACAAAAGAATCAATTCTCATTATCTACTGCTCTGCAATTTCATTCTCTACTATCATTTCTCTGTAATTTCATTCTTTGTACCAAACGCACCCTTAGATTACATACAATTGTGGATAGTGCATCATTGTATGTAGTAATTTTATTATAATATTTTTACTATCAATATTATTCTATGTTACATTAATTAATGTTTTACGTACCCCTCTATGTACTACAAACAATAATTGTGGATAGTGCATCAATCTTGAAGAATGAACTGAAAAATAATATTTTTCAAATACTTTGTTAATCACCCAAGATTTTAGTTTAACGTATGACATTTTAAGAGATTCTTTATATGTACTTGTATTTTTGTAATGTATATGTTTGCATACATAATATGTAATCCAAAATTTCTAATATATACTCTTGTTCATAACTTGCACACTCGAATCACGTGAACATACATGTACTAGAAAAAAATTTAAATCCAAAAAAGTAATTAATATACTTCGGTTCGCAAAATTTTATTGTTGGTGTCAAAAAACCCCTAAATTTAAGCAAAATACCTCCAATGATAATATTGTTCTTTCATTTTACTAATACATACTTTTGAATAGATTGAATGTACTCATACTGAGGAGTTGACTTTATAAGTAACTTTATATATATTCGGCGTATAATGAGAATATATGTACTTACTAAATTGTTCTGAAAACACTAATGGATGCGTTCCATGTACACATCAATAACTAATATGTTCTTCATAATGTGAGAAGGTCCAATATGTCACATACGTAACATTTACTTCTTATTTCTTTTAATAAATTTCTTATTGTTGGAATTTTCTTCCTACTCTAAAAAATATTTGAACGGACAATCACAATACAAAGAACGCCATACATCATTAGTTATGCATTAACTCCAAAATATCAATTAGTATGGTTCACTATATGATATTTTATGTCATACTTATCTTAAGTGACATTCACATCCACCCTTTAATATATGATTAGGTTATCTTATAGGTTGTTTCATAAATATCCGTTGATGCATACTAACATTTGACAAATTGGAGGTGATGAAATCATATCATAGTTGTCTAATGCAACTTAAATACCCTTGTTTAAAAATTATACCTGTATACGAATATGAATGCTTCTATACACAATTACACGACCTTTTAATTGGATATGTACACGTCTAGTTATAATGTATATACCCCAAGCACGTAACAATATACTCATATTTTCATTGTAACAACTCCGTCGAAAAAATTAAATACCCGTATTAATAAATATGATTTATATTAATGTACTTTTATATGAATGATGGGGATACACTATAGGCCATGTTATATCATAATGAGTACTTAGGGGAAATAAAGAGCCTCAAGTATTTTGTAAAATTTAATAAAGAAATATCTTGTGTAATGTATTGTCTTTGTTAAGTATTACTCTTGGTCATATTTTATATAGTTATAATAACCTGTGATGTACTTTTGTTGTGAATTCACATACTCTTATTTTGTACTTTCGAAGAATTAGTTTGGACTGATTTATATCTCGTCATAATCGTTGTGTATGCCTAGTGTTACGTATGAAATTTATAATTAGGTTAAAAGGCCCAAGTTAGAAGAAGATGTGGGCGTGTAATCAGGTGAACCGGACGTCTTTCTAAGGAAATAGGTGTGTCGGATGGTCCGCAAAACCGAAGGTCCGCAGGTCGGATGGTCCGCAAGTCGGATGGTTTGCAAGTCGGATAGTCCACAGGTCGGATGGTCCGCAGGTCGGATGGTCCGCAAGTCGGAAGGTCTGCGGTCGGACAGGCAGGTCGGTTGGTTCGCGGTCGGATAAGTAAGTCAGAAGATCCGTGGGCGGACAGACAGGTCGGTTGGTCTGTAGTCGGATAAGTAAGTCGGAAGGTCCATGGTCGGACAAGCAGGTCGGTTGGTTCGTGGTCGGATAAGTAAGTTGGAAGGTCCGCGAGCGGAAAGGTAGGTCGGTTGGTCTGTAGTCGGATGAGCAAGTCGGAAGGTCCGTGCTCGGACAAGCAGGTCGGTTGGTTCGCGGTCGGATAAGTAAGTCGGAAGGTCCGCGGTCGGACAGGCAGGTCGGGTGATCTGCAGGCGGATAAGCAAGTCGGAAGGTCCATGGTCGGACAAATAGGTCGGAAGGTCCGTGGTCGGACAGGCAGGTCGATTGGTCTGCGGTCGGGCAGGCAGGTCAGTTGATCCGCAGTTGGACGAGCAAATCGGCTGCTGGGGAGGTCGGATACTGCGGAGATCGGTTGAGAGCCGTAGTTTAGTCGGTTGGGTGACGCGGTTGGTAAGACGGTTGAGAACACGTGTCAGCAAAAGAAGAATTAGTAGACGGTTGGGAGGAGACGTTGTAACCGTTCGGGCGACGGTTCCAGGTTCTGTTTCTGAGGAATATTTAAGGATTGCGGTCAGCAACTGGCAGGGAATCTTCAATCATCTTCAAACAATAGCAAAGTGATTCGGGGATCATTATTTAAATTTCAGTCTGTAGCATTTATTTTCCAGTTTATTTATGTACCGTACAGTGTTTAGAGATTCCTAATCTCATGCACTAATTATATAAAATTCGAAGATAATTTCCTATTTTCGGATTTTACCTTTTTATTGTTGAAAAAACCCATCAACAATTTGGCGACCACAGTGGGAGAAAGGCAAGATTGCTGATCCTACATCAACAGAGAATTTCATACGACTGAGGTCCGACTGAATCATCAGAAAGATCAATATGGCAGGCTCACAACCTCAATCATCTTCAGCACCGGTGGGAGAAAATATTTCACCACTTGTCATGCCAAATCCAGGGGAGATTCCCCAACCACCTACCGATTGGTTGTCTTATGTTCAACAATTGAACAATCAGCAAACTTCAGCTATGCAGAATATGTTGAGCGAGCAACAGAACATCATGTTGCGCGAGCAACAGAATCTCATGCAGAACATGTTAGATCAAGCTTTATCAAGGGTTACTCTTCAACCCACTCAGACGCCTCCAGGAATATCACCATCAAGAATGCAAGCGAATTTCGCAGGGCCTACATTGCCAAGTGCCACAACGTTCAACCCAACGGATAGGGAAAAGATTTCTCTAAATTTCCCTAATAATGTTTCTTTAGGACAAAGAGGTGACAATCTTCAGCCGAACATTGTCAAGGAAGAGAGGCAATGAACACATATTCAGGATCCTATCCTTATCCCTGATCATCAAAACCCTTGTGTGGATCCTGAAGAGATTGCGCAAGTGTTGAGGGTGCATTTCGGTTTGAATCCTCAGATGGCCAACCGTCCTGCTTATCAAAGACCTTTTCCCGAAAGGATCATTAACGACTATCCACTTCCAAGGAATTATCGACCACCTAATTTCCATGCTTTTTCAGGGGAAGACGGATCCTCCACCATAGAGCATGTGGGTCGCTTTACAGCACAATTGGGGGAAGTTGGAAATAATCCTTTTTATAAACTGCAATTATTTAGTTATCTCTTACCAGAACAGCTTTTTCGGTTTGTAAATCTGCCACCTGGGTAAATACAAACTTGGGAAGGTTTGGAAATGGCATTCCATGCTAGATTCTTCAATCTTTTACCAACTATTTCTCTTACCGATCGATTGGAATTGAAGCAATATCCAGAAGAGTCAGCCTCACAGTTTATTGAAAGGGTGCGATTGATGAAAGAACGTTGTCCTACTATAATCAATGAAAAAGAAATGACCAATTTAGTGGTCAGAAATATGCATGGCCGCCTAAGAGAGGCACCACTGCTCATGATGTGGAAGATTTGGCGAATCTCGCTGCCAAGGCTGGACGTTTAGAGTCTCTTTTCAGAGAAAATGATCAGAATTTCAGACGTAATAAACTTCAATATATGGCGAGTATGGAAACAGAAGATACGACTTTGATTTTGATCAGACAGAAGAAATGGCAGCTGAAATCATTTCAGAAAAGCCTTATGTGTGCTCTAAATTAAAACCAGTGCCAGAAACTGAAGGAAGAGAGCAACCCACATTTGACAATTCAAAGTTGATGAAATTTTTGATATTTTGCTAACTGATGGCCAGATTCGAATTCCAAAAGGACAAAGGTTGGCTAGTAAGGAAGAAATCAAAGGAAGACCATATTGTAAGTGGCATAACTCTTTCACACACAATACAAGTCAATGCACTCACTTTCGAAATAAGATCCAAAAGGCCATTAAGGCATGTCGGCTCAAATATATCACTTTGGGTGTAGAACAACAGTCTTTTCCAAAAGTAACCACAACAATGGTTAATATACAAACAAGTCCTAGATCGGAAAAAGGAAGACCATCAAACATTGGCCGACCAGAAGAAAACTCAAGGTTTGTGAAAAAACAGTTGCCGAAAAATGGGATAATCAAGATGGTTCTCTTAATGTGGAGTTAAAGGAGCAGGTTTGGTCCGAGACCACCCGACTAGAAAGACTGGCTTGGTCGGTAGCAAGTGGGCTCGAAATAAAAAAACCTTTACCAATTGATGTGGATCCTCGTTTTCCGGGTATGAATCATACTCAAATTCGTAATGCCAAGCGCAGGTATGCTGTGAGGTACAGGGATAAGGTCGCTTCATCAAAGTAGCCGAATGATATGCCAGACGCTGTTAGTTCTCCCGGAAGAGGTCGGTCCATAAGGGTCTTCTCATTTGAGCAGCTGAATGATATGCGAGGCGCTGTTGATATTCCAAAGGGAGGACGGTCCATAAGGGTCGCTTCATCAAAGCAGCCGAATGATATGCGAGGCGCTGCTGATTATCCAAAGGGTGGTCGGTCCATATTGGTCTCCTCATCAAGGCAGCCGAAGTATCTGCAAGGTGTCTCTGAGTTTTCTGAAAAAGGTCGGTCCATACATAGGAATGGTAAAGGAGTATCAGATGAGAGAATTGAAGGTTTCAGATGTCACTATTGTGAGCGGATTAACATCAATCCATCTCTGGAGGAATTTCGTTTGGAATCTCTGACAGCTCAACCTGAAATGGATACTAGAGACGAAATTCTGGAATCAGATTCAAGGTCTGTCAAGTCTCGACTAGGGCTACGAGTTCCTGCCGAATGACAGGAATTAATTGGATTAAAGAAGAACCCCTGTAAGCAAGTCTGGTGGATGATTTTATAGAAGAGCCAGAATGGGCAAAGATTTCAGATCCTGATTTTCAGTCAGAGGTTCCTCCAATAGTCTTTCCTCCCATTCCAGAAGGCACAACGTCTCATTTAAAGCCTCTGTACGTTAATGCTCATATTTGCGGGAAACCAATCACGAAGGTTTTCATAGACAATGGAGCCGTCTTCAATGTGATGCCATTAAAAACTCTCAAGAAGTTAGGGAAGGGAATTCACGATTTGTCTCTAGTAGATTTTGAGATGACCAGCTTTACAGGGCAGCCAACCAGACCACAAGGTATGATGGTCGCTACAATTGAAGTCGGTCGTAAAAAGATTTCTTCTGTTTTCTTTGTGGTGGATGCAGATACTACATAGTCAATCCTACTTGGACGAGATTGGATTCATGCATCTCAATGTGTACCATCGACATTGCATCAACGATTAATGTTCTAGGAAAGGCAATCAGGTCTTCAAAATGGAAGCAAATGACAACCCTTTCGGAGCATCAGAACAAGTTGAAGAATCAATTTTTTATTCAAGTCATTTACCCCCAATGTCTCAGTTGTTTATGGCTAGTGAATACCCAAAGAAGGGTTTTAAATTCATCAGCCAAAATTCAATGCTCTTTTAAAAAAAGAACAACTTTACTGTATGGCTCATGAGGAAGCCAAACCTATTTTATCATATATTTTTTATGGAATGTGCAAATTTACAAGATTGTAGTGTACTTATTAATAAGTTTTATTTAGATCAGCTTTTGAAAAAAGTAGAAAAAATAAAAAAGATTCATGATGTTCATTTCCAAGAAGATGAACAATTTCGTTGGCCTGATTTATTAGAGAAGACAGAACCAACTTTTTCAGCACAAGATCCTTTATTGGAATTTAATTTAGGAACCGACTTGGTTCCAAAAATAATCAGGATGAGTAGTTATTTGTCTGAAGAGCAACAAATATTGATGCTCGAAGTTATAAAAAACAATATTGATTGTTTAGCTTGGGATTATTCAGAAATGCCTGGTCTAGAGCGAAGTCTGATAGAGCATCGGTTGCCTATTAAAAAAGGTTTCAAGCCCTACAAGCAACCTCCAAGGTGTATGAGTCCTGATTTAATGCCTCAAATCAAAGAGGAAATTCAGAAACTTCTTAAAGTAGGTTTCATCCGGCCTTTCCGTTATGCAGATTGGTTGGCCAACATTGTTCCAGTGGTTAAAAAGAATGGTAAGAACATGATATGCATTGATTTCAGGGATCTTAATATGGCCACTCCTAAGGATGAGTATGTGATGCCTATGGCTGACATGCTAATTGATTCAGCAGCAGGACATAAAATTCTCAGTTTGATGGATGGTTATGCAAGATATAACCAAATCTTTTTGGCAGAAAAAGACATTCATAAGACAGCATTCAAATGTCCAGGAGCTTTAGGTATATATGAGTGGACGGTTATGCCTTTTGGTTTGAAGAATGCAGGGGCAACTTATCAGAGGGCCATGAATTCAATTTTTCATGATCTTATTGGTAAATCTATGGAAGTATATATTGATGACGTTATCGTCAAATCTTCCAGTTTTGAAGAACATTTGAGAGATCTTAAAGATGCTTTCAGACGAATGAAGAGGTACAAGTTGAAGATGAATCCGACTAAATGTGCGTTCGGTATATCAGCTGGGAGTTTCTTGGGATTTTTGGTACATGAGAGGGGAATAGAGATCGATGCAAATAAAGCCAAAGCAATTCTAACCAGCCGACCACCCAAAACTGTTAAGGAAATACAAAGTCTCTTGGGGAAGGTAAATTATCTCAGACGGTTCATTTCCATTGCTGCTGGCAAGGTCAGACCAATTACTAAATTATTGAAGGCTGGAGGAAATGCTTTTGAGTGGGGACCAGATCAACAGACAGCTTTAGAAGCTATAAAGCAAGCATTGGCTCAACCGTCTGTGTTGCTGCCCCCCAAAGAAGGTCGGCCCCTCAAAATTTATTTGACAAATACGTATGAAGTGGTCAGTTGCTTATTAGCACAAGATGGGGATGATGGAAAGGAAAGGGCAATTTACTACTTGAGTAAGACTCTTACAGGACCAGAATTAAATTATACTATGCCAGAAAAAATGTGTTATTCATTGGTGTTTGCATGCACCAAACTTGAGCATTATATGTTGCCCAGGAGAATTGAGGTTATTTCAAGGATTGATCTCATCAAATTAATTTTGCAAAGACCTACTATGCAGGGCAAACTTATGAAGTGGGCCATTAAATTGGCTCCGTTTGATTTGTGTCATTCTCCTTTGAGGGCAGTGAAAGGCCAAGCAACAACAGATTTTTGGCAGACTTCGCAGGTTATGAGCAAGAACCGACTGGATACATGTCTTATGTAAGTACCCGGAATTGGTTAATGTTTTTTTGATGGTTCTACTTCAGGAAACAAATCGGGTGCGGGTATTTTGTTGAAAGGACCAGATGGTCAAAGGGTCAAGTTACAGTTGCAATTAGAAGCCATGACCCATAATTCGGCAGAGTATGAAGCTTTAATCTTGGGATTGGAAGCCTTAATAGCCAGGAACATTCAATCCGTGATTATAAGAGGGGAATCTCAATTGGTAATCAACCAGGTAAATAAACAATATGTTTGCAATTATCCCCATCTACGCAGATACAGGGATACTGTAGGTCGGTTGCTATCAAGAATCTCCGAAGTGATAATTGAGTTCATCCCTAGGAAGGAAAATCAATTTGCAGATGAGTTAGCTCAAAAGGCTTGTAAGGGAATCCCAAAACATATATGTGCAGAGGTCAGCTCTGAAGCAGAAGCTGGAACAGACTGGAGAACATAAATTATCATATATTTACAAGATCCAGGAGCGAATGTACCGATTGGAATACGGCTGAAAGCTTTGCGATTCCAGTTGATAGAAGAAGTATTATACAAAAAGACATTCGAAGGATTACTTTTGAAATGCTTGGGGTCCAAACAGGCTTTGGAGGTGATGACAGAAGTACACAGTGGAATTTGTGGAGCTCCACTGGAGCTCATCGGGCAGGTTTGAATATGAGATGGGCTATTCATCGTTGGGTTTCTTTTGGCCAAAGATTTTCGAAGATTGTATACAATTCGCTAAAGGTTGCCAAGAGTCTCAGAAACACGGACAGTTGAATCACTTGCCAGTCACTGAGTTGCAGACTATGGTAAAACCATGGCCCTTTAAATCTTGGGCTATGGATATCATTGGTAAATTTCATCATCTATCATCTAAAAACCATTGTTTCATTTTGGTTGCAACAGATTATTTTACCAAATGGGTCGAGGCAGTTGCTTTGAAAAATTTGGATAAAAGAGAAGTGATAGATTTCGTGCTGAATCAGATCATCTATAGGTATGGTATTCCTCATTCAATAACAACCGACCAAGGTTTGGTCTTTACTGGGGAGAAGTTTTTAAGCTTCTTGGCAGAGTTTGGTATTCATCTGAACCATTCTTCGCCTTATTATCCCCAAGCTAATTGGCAGGCAGAAGTAGCTAATGAGATTATTATTGGGATTATAAAGAAAATGATTGAAGGGAACCCAAGAAAATGAAATTTGTTGTTATCTCGAGCCTTATGGGCTCATACGAATAACATAAATTCTGCCACAGGGTTTTCACCATATCAGCTCACCTTTGGACAAGATGTTGTGTTGCCAGCCGAAATTCAAGTGTCATCTGGACGTACAAGCCTTACTACTGATGTTTATTGAGGAATATCAACAAATTATGTTGCAGCAATTGGAAAGTTTGGATGTCAACCGACTCTATGCAATTGATCAGATTGTACAGCAGAATGAGATCAGGGCTAAGACTTATGGAAGAAAGTTTTTTACAGAACGTTCCAAGAAGAAGACTTGGTTTGGAAAACTATCATTCCTACATATAAGGAGATTGATCAATTGGGGAAGTGGTCTCCAAATTGGGAAGGACCATTTATCATTCAAAAGGAGATTGCAAATGGTGCCTTTATTATTATAAATCAAGAAGGAAAAATGGTACATGATTGTATTAATGCTGAATATCTGAAGAGGTATTTTCCTGCCTTTTCAGATAACAAGAACACATAAACAATAATTTTTATTCAAAACCCGATTTATTAGGGGTTCGGACCCAAAAAGGGTTGTTATGGATCTGCAAGGAGGGGCGATTGGTATTATAATAGCCGATTTGTCGGCTGCTTCAAATGGACGCTGCGGTATGGACCTGGGTCCCTGCATGATGGAAATATAGTGTATTTAATATTATGTGAACATTAGCTCTTAGTGTGGAAATGGGAGGTCGAAGCATTTACCAAATTGACAGAGGTCTCTGAATCAGAGGAAGGGATTTCTTGTAATTCTCCCTCGGTTGAACAGCTGCGGGTTCTTCGTCCCGTCTGGCAGCTTCTGGAGGAGGTCTGCTGCCCTCAGGTCGGCTGCCCCCAGGTCGGCCGCCCTCAGGTCGGCTGCTCTCTGATCGGATACGTCTAGGGCGGCTGCAGCAAGTCCGTCAGGAGCAATTCGGACGCCCACATCAGAGACGTCTCTATTAATTGGGGCAAGCGCCTCGGAAGCGACTGCAGTAGAGGCGGCCACACCAGAAACGATTGCAGCAGAGGCGGATACAGGCATGGCCATTGGCTCCGCGTTAGGAAGAGACGGGTCTGAGGCAACATAAGGCAATCTACCCATCTGTGAGGCAGTCGTCTCACTGTCAGATGAAGCCCTTGTTGTTGCCAGTTTGACTGGTGAAGGAACTTGCATTGAGGTCCGTCGTTTGGTCGGGGGTTCCGGTATTTGAAGTTGGTCGTGTGACAATTTTGGTGATTCCTTTGGGTCTGAAGTAGGCTGGACGGTCGCCCGGGCCGGGGTTGGACCTGAATATCATAATGGTGATTAATAAAATTTTAAGGAAAAGTCAGATTAAGTTAGGATTTTTGAAACATACCTGGACGGGGTCGGGTCTTTACAGGCGCCCGACCTGATGAGCGTTCTTTTGAAGTCCGTTGATTTTCTTCATGGAATAGGACAGTTTGAATTTGAGAAGCTTGTCTTTTTCTTTGTGGGGCACCGGATCCGGTGCCTGGGGCGACTATTTTTCTTCGGGTGTTGGTCAATAGGGCCGCCCTAATACCAAGGCAGGCTGCGGTAAGAGGATGCCTAGGAGGCGATCTTTGTCGGGGGCAATTAAGGCCCAGGTGACCGACCACCATTCGTGGAAGGACTCAACGGAGTCTAGAGAAGATTGGAAGGGAATGTAGGAGTTGAAAGTTATATAATTGGTTAATTGGGATACGTAAGAAGAAATCAATTCAGGGATAACTCTCTCGTCCGGGCTTTGAATTACTAGATGTGGACAGGCGATGGGGCCAGGTAAACTTTGTTGGCATCTGAACTGGCGTGCCAAAAATTGAGGTTGATAGTTGAAGGTATAAAATTCTTTGTGGCCTTTCTTATCAATTTTCTTACTGATAAATAATGACCTGGGCTTAAGAGCAGCATCTCAGGCGAAGGAGTATGTAGGATGAGGAAACGGGTCCGGTTCGGACAATGGTGAAGATACAGGGAATGGCCAAAACAGGTCAGATGTGTAACCGACATACTTTCTGTACATGTAAAATCGGGAGTTACTACGGTCATCGGTTAGAATGGCAATTATGATGGGGTCGGATTCTTGAAGGTTATTGCGACCTAAACAAAGTCGGTTAAGGGCTATTCTTAAAGATTTATCAGGTGTTGGAGCAACAGAGGGTTGACCGAGTTGGAATGCTTCGGGGAAATAGAGACGGAACCACAATTTCAAGAACCAAAAAGGGTCCGATGAGGCGGTATCTAATTTTTTGCCATCATTATCTGTAAGGCGGGTGCTAACCCTGGATAGCCCTTCAAACAGATTGGCAAGGAAGAGAGTACCAAGAGCAAAGAAACGACCTGAGGCTATATGTATGGCCAGGTCAAGATGAGAAGGAATGACGCATTTCGAAGGGGAAATTATGACATACCTACAGAGCCAAAAGAGAAGGAAGGCGACATGCTCACGGTCGGTCACAGGGGTCCCGGCTGCTCCTTGTTGGTCGGTTGAAAATTTGGTCCAGCCCCATTCCTTTATGCCAGTCAGAGACCAGCCCAAGTGGTCTGCATTGGGCTCTTGTCCATCTAGGGCTCCTATTACAGGGTCCTCACCCACAATTGGAAGATGGGCGATCATGGCCACATTTGTGAGCGTTGGGCCGATGGGGGCTGTAGGAAGGAGGAAGACGCCCATCTCTGAGTGCCAGAACGCCGACATCGCTAGAAGAACTTTCTCATGTAAATGACATGGGAGAGTAGATAGTAGTATTGCCTGGTCGATTTGTTGGCGTTTCCATTGATCTCGAAAACGTTCTGCTACCCTTTTGTACCAGGTGCGGTATAGGTCTTTGGGATTTGTCAGGTGCGTTTTGATACTGTAATGAAGACGGATAGCCTGGTAGTTGGAAGTATTGACAGCGAGGGGATTTCCTACTTCCAAGATCTCTCTAATCCGGTTGGAATCCTCTGGAGTAGTGCAGTATGGCCGAATGGTAGGAGTGAGCATTTTCGTAGCAACAAATGCTGTTTCTGGAATTGATCCGTCGAAATGAAGTGCAGGTATGTATTGATTTGCCATGATTTGGAGTTGCAGAGATTGAGAGAAAGCAAACGTCAGTAGCAAAGATGAAAAGTTTTGTGGCAAACACTGTGCTGCGATAACTGGTTGCAGTTGCAGAGGCGGTTCTACATAAGGGTATTGTTATATAAATTGCGAACTTCCAAACGGCGATTGAGGAGTGGCGTTTGAAAGTCCGGTGGCGGCGGGCAAGTTGTTACGTATGAAATTTATAATTAGGTTAAAAGGCCCAAGTTAGAAGAAGATATGGGCCTGTAATTGAGTTTGCTAGACTTATTAAAGGGTATTTCAAGATAATCGGGTGAACTCGACTTCTTTCTAAGGAAATAGGTGTGTCGGATGGTCCGCAAATCCGAAGGTCCGCAGGTCGGATGGTCCGCAAGTCGGATGGTCTGTAAGTCGGATAGTCCACAGGTTGGATGGTCCGTAGGTCGGATGATCCGCAAATCGGAAGGTCTGCAGTCGGACAGGCAGCTCGGTTGGTTCGCGGTCGGATAAGTAAGTTGGAAGGTCCACGGGCGGACAGACAGGTTGGTTGGTCTGTAGTTGGATAAGCAAGTCGGAAGGTCCGTGGTCAGACAAGCAGGTCGGTTGGTTCGCGGTCGGATAAGTAAGTCGGAAGGTCCGCGGACGGACAGGCAGGTCGGTTGGTCTGTAGTCGGATAAGCAAGTCGGAAGGTCCGTGGTCGGACAAGCAGGTCGGTTGGTTCATGGTCGGATAAGTAAGTCAGAAGTTCCGCGGTCCGACAGGCAGGTCGGGTGATCTGCAGGCGGATAAGCAAGTCGGAAGGACCGTGGTCGGACAAACAGGTCGGAAGGTCCGTGGTCGGACAGGCAGGTCGATTGGTCTGCGGTCGGGCAGGCAGGTCAGTTGATCCGCAGTTGGACGAGCAAATCGGCTGCTGGGGAGGTCGGATGCTGCGGAGATTGGGTGAGAGCCGTAGTTTAGTTAGTCGGGTGACGCGGTTGGTAAGACAGTTGACAAGGCATGTCAGAAAAAGAAGAATTAGTAGACGGTTGGGAGGAGATGTTGTAATCGTTCGGCGACGGTTCCA